CGCAGAGTTCACTCAGGTCATTCATATAGCGGGATGCAGGCAGGCTCTGTAGTCAGAAAGACCGAGGTTCAAAGCTGAGTGATGCGACCCCTGAGCCTCAGTTCTCCTGTCTGTACAATGGGGATGATATGGTGGTATGAGATTCAGAGGACCAGTGCCCATGAAGATGCCTGGTTCAGTGCTGGCTGAGAGTTAGCAGTCACTAACTGGAAGCTTGAAGACATCATGTGTAAAAGGGCACAGAGGCCTGGGCAGGACCCGTCCCGCAGGTATTCTCTGTTCTGGCTTGCTGGTGTGTCCCATTATAGATCCCCTTCTTTCTTCTGAAAAAGCAGGGGTCGACTATTCCATGGAGCCAGTTATAGTCCTTGCTTGGTATCCACTGGCTGGGGCTAGGACTTATGAAATGTACACAATGACTTATTCCCATCCATGTGACCTTTCCAGACTGAGCCACTAATTGGTGACAACTCATTCCTGGTGGCCCCTACAGTTTACCCACTACTATCACATATGTTTGTTCACTAATCCCAGGACCTGAGCTTTAGAGCTGAAAGATCCTGGGGCGAGGGAGGGTGGCAATAAATCAGCTTACCTAGTGGTTACCAAGCCTGGGTGCACACCAGATTCACCTGGGAGCTTTTTAGACACTAATGTGAGAACAGTTTTCTTTTGCATGTACACTGTAGAACTTTCCAGCTGTACCAAATAGGATTCAGTAAGTAGTCCCCAAGTGTCTACCCCAGAAGCAGCCACTGATTTTCTTACTGTCCAGAGAGCAATCCATGTATGTGCAGGGGAATGCATTCTGTGCAAGCAGGACAGCCACTGCACACACCATTCTGTTCTCTGTTCTCATTTATTGGTGCGTCTTGGATATATATATCAATATATCAGAACATGAAGATACAACTAGTTCCTTTTTAATGCTATGCAGTATTCCTTTGCACGCCATTGGTCCCTCCTTGATGGAAATGAATGGACTTCCCAATTCTGTGCTGATATGGTTTGGCTGTGTCCCCACCCAAATCTCGTCTTGAATTGTAGCTCCCATAGTTCCACCATGTTGTAGGAGGGACCCGGTGGGTGATAATTGAATCATAGGGACAGTTTCTCCCATACTGTTCTCATGGTAGTGAATAAATCTTATGAGATCTGATGGTTTTAAAAGGGGAAGCCCTTTTCACTTGTCTCATTCTCTCTCTTGCCTGCTGCCATGTAAGACGTGCCTTTCACCTTCCACCATGATTGTGAGGCTTCACCAGCCATGTGGAACTGAGTCCATTAAACCTCTTTTTCTTTATAATTTGCCCATATTCAGGTATGTCTTTATCAGCAGCATGAAAACGCACTAATATATATGCTAAATAAAACAAGACAGCAGTAAGTTTCCTAGTACATGCATTCCTTTATGCACAAATTTTGTGATATTTTGTGCGTGCCAAAGGATATTATATTAGGGAGGCTTAAGGTGACAAATTCCTGGGCTCTCTCAAGACATTCTGATTCCATTGGCCTGGTGTGATGCCCAGGCATGGGGCCCCATCTGAATTATGTGGGTGTTTTTCAAATTTCAGATTCCTGGGCATCACACCAGGCCAATGGAATCAGAATGTCTTGAGCTCAGCTAGTGAAAGAGAAGTGTGTGTCCTGCAAAGCTGAGTGGACTGTGCAAGGCTCCCGATTCCCAGGTCCAGCACAGGCCATGGCGGCACCTGGAGAAGGTTCCGTGTGGTCACCACCAGTGCTCCTACATGTGTGCCTGGCTCCTGCCAAGGAACCATGATCATTAGCCAACTGGCCCTGGAGCCTGGCAAATCATGTCCCATCCCACTTCATGTACTTTTATTGTTTTTAATAACACACAAGAGGTCAGTAGGATTGGCCACCTCTGGGGAGAAGAACTGGGCACGTGGGAATTGGGGTAAGGAAGAAGACTTTTCCATGATGAATATAGGCGTTATTACCTTAAAAAAAAGGCCTGCTGCATAAAATCTATAAATAACAAACGGCATCACTGGGTCTAGCTCGTTCTCTAAACTTTTGATCTTGAGCAAGTCGCGCACAGTCTCTGAACCTCAGTTGGGGGCTGCTATGACATTCGGGGGTTCCCAACAAATGTTGAATGAGTGAATGGAGGTGAGACCCTGGGTGGAATCCTCAAAAGCCATGCCAGCTACAGCCCGAGGCAGAGAGAAGATGGCAAGGGTTTTCCCATTGTGCAAATGGGCAGAACACAGAGAAACAAAGACCGACTTGAGGATGGCCATAAAGTGAGGACATCGGGGACGAGGCCTCTCCAGGGGCCTCTGAAGCTGCTGTAAGCCTGGCTCTGTCTCCCTAGGGAGGTCTCTGCCTTGGGGCCTGGTCCCGGTGAGTGAAGTCATTCCATGGGATGTTTTCAGCTCTCTCACCATGGCTTGGGATGGCACCATCCGGTCCCTTGTGGGGAGAGAATGTGACATCCCTCCAGGTTCTCAGGGGCCTGGCAGGCCGGGCGGGTCAGCCCAAGCTCCAGGTGGGACTGGAGCTGGGTGCATCTGCCCATGGCTGGCCACTTCTAGGAAAAGAGGAGCTGCCTGCCTCTCAACACAGACTCTCCCCCGACCGGCCTTCCCTGGGAAGCAGCGATGACAAAAGCGAAGAGAAGAGGAGCAAAAGCCTGTTGGGAGGTGGAAGATGGGCCAGGAGTCCCCAGTGAATCAACTTAACTATGGACAAAAATTGGGACATTTTGCAACCATTTATGGAGTTTATAGTGAAACGAAAATTGCTTTTGTCCTATCAGAACAAAGACAGTGGGTATGTTTCCCTGTGGGAGCCCTAAACTGGGATGTTTCTCTTGAAAGAAAGTGAAGAAGTGAGGTTCTTTGGGTCAGATTTGGCACCCAGATGTCTTCCCCAATCCCCTTTCTCCCAATTCAAACTCACTAGGGACTTATAATATTGGGTGCTTTTTGAAATATTGAAGCATCTGGTAGCCTTGGGCCAGCCTACATCCCTGGCAGCCCTAGGTAAGGGCTTGGTAGTGGCTGCCTTTCTAGAAGGGGTAGATCTCTCCTGTTTGCCAGAGACCCCCCTCCCCAATTGCATCACATGCAGACTGTGTCTCTCATGATCAGGCTACTGTTCTAGCTCCAAAAATTCAATACACACCCAGTACCTGCCTCTGAAATGCATTTTGGTGATTTTGCTAAAGCAATAATAGGTCTGCCTTTCTGTTCCTCCATTCTACCACTACTGCTGGCAAACAAGTGTCCCAAGACATCCTGGCTGGATGTCTGAGGCTGTACCGTATCAAAACTGTGAGTTGAAGAAAGCTACTTACCATCTCTGAGTCTCTGTTTCTGTAAAATTGACAAGAAAATGTTATTTTAAGAATTATTATTATAGTTAATAATTATGATGTTTTGTGATTTTGTCAGTTGACTGGGTTTGTATCACATGGTGCCAGTGGGGGCCTTGGGAAAGCTGGAAAGTCCAAATGTCCTGGATCACTTGGCTGGCGGTTGGCTTTGGCTGCCAGCTGGGAGCTCAGCTGGAGCTGTCACTTAGGAGCCTGGCTTCTCCTCCTTGCCTCTCCACATGGCTGCTTGTGCTTCCTCATAGCATGGTACTGAGGGGTATTCCAAGAGGCAAAGATGGAAGCTGCATCTCTCCCAAGGCTCACCTTCAGAAGTTACCCAGTGTCGCCTCATCATAGCGTATTGCTTGTAACAGGTGTGAGTGCTGTTATGAGCACTCACAATCCTTGGGATCCTCAAGGATTCCAGAGGAGGACAAATGGACTCTACCTCCTGATACAGCCATGGCAGAGGAGTCTCTGCAAAAGAACATGTGAGGCTGGGGATGTTTTTGCAACCACTTTGGAAATACGATATTGTACAAGTGGACTTTCACAGTGCCTAATGCACAGGAGACCTTTGACAATGTTAGTTCCATTAATTCCTCCCACACACAGGTCGGATTTGGCATCCCCACCTGCCTTCTTCCCAAAACTGGGGACTTAGAATATTTGGTGCTTTTGCAATATTGAATGATCTTGTAGCCTTGGGCCAACCTATAGCTCTGGCAGCTCTCGGCAGGGCCTTGGGAGTGGCTGCATTTTGCACCTATTGTGTGCCAGGTCTTACACTAGACTCTAGGAAGATGGAATTGGTTTTAACCATCATGCAACTCACAGTTCTGAATGGGAAACTAGCAAGTAAAGCAGGAATTACAACACAACATGGTAACTGTTTTGCAAAAAGAATACCCTGGAACTGGCAACTGGACCCATGCTGGGCCAGCAAGAATTAGCCTGGGACATCCACTGGCCCTATTGAAAAATAAAAATTCTTTCTCACAGGGGTATTAGGCTGGTAGCAGGATGCCTGGAGCTGCTGAAGGCAGGCTTGCCATCATGTGGATCTACCAGTTCCCGTCTTGTTGTGGCTGGGGACAGCTTGCCTGCAGATGAAACCAACACAGGAATGCAGAGCCACGAGACGGAGGTGAGACTCCTGATAACACCTTTGGGGTCCCTGAGTCCAACTTTACCTTTGGACTTTTTGGTTTTATGTGTTAAGCAGGTTTATTTTTGCCTATAATAATTTAGGTCAGGGTTTCTCTTGATTCTTACCAAGAAATCATGACACTCAGTTCTTAAGGAAGTCATAGTCTAATAGAGAGGACTCACGTGCAAGCAAATAATAATGCTTCAGTGCTGTATGGGACTGTAAGGAAGAAATGCTCATGCAGTATTATGAAGAGGGTTTGGGTTAATTTTCTTGGAGGCAGGAAAAGAAGTTCTAGAATGTTTCCTCCACATACTTGTCACAGAGCTGGTCACGCCAACAGATGCTCTGTATGTCTGAGTGGAAGAAAGGGCAGAGTCTTCTGACAAAACCAGTAGAGACCAGGCGATCCCATGTGAAATCGTATCTCCTTCCTAACTTTCTAAATTCAGGGGTTTAGAATTGGCTGCCCTGGTGTCCGTGTGACAGTAACAGAATCTCCTTAGCAGAAGCAGAGTCTTTTAATAGACCTCCAGAGGTTAATGGGCCTGACATATCTTTGACATTTATTGGATTTTACGAGCTAGTGGATCTGACTCAGAAAGCCGATCAGATGTTCCAAATCGATGGCCCCTTTGGGGTGCTGTCTTCGCACAGTGCCATAATGAGGTGACCTTGGATGCCTGAGTCCGGAAAGAACAGAGAGAGGATGTCAGAATCGCAGAAATTGCTAAACTGATCAAGGCCTACACAGTGCCTTCGGGCTTGCTTCTGGCCCCAAGATTCTTTGTCCACAGATTCTGTAACTGTACATTCCTCTCGCCTCACCCTGCCCGAACAGTTACAATCATTAGTCTCTTTAAAAAAAAAAAAAACCCTTCCCTTATCCAACAGATATTTGTAGAAAAGCTTCATTGTAATGTCACTTAATAAATGAGCATTTTCTGGCACAGGGGACTCCAAGAAGATTGTAGTATGTCCCTTGTCCTCTACGAGCTTAGAGTCTTGGAGGGGAGACTTTTACACACCCAAATCCTATTAGTGCCCAATGATGGGGCTGGCAGAGAGGACCACGAAGAGAACAGAGGCAGTGGAGATGAAAGCAAGGTGATTCTCTGGGGTGCTAGGGAAGCTTCCCAAATTAGGGGGCATTTTTGTTGGGTTCTGAAAGTCAAGTAAAAGCTGTCCAGGCAGGAGAGAAGAAATATAACATCTAGGTGTGGCAAAGGGCATACGATATGTACAAATGTGTAGAGATGCAGAGATGCTATTATTGGAAGATGCAGAGATGCTATTATTGGAAGGTGCAGAGTAAATGTGACAGAAGACAAATGTAAGTGCTGGAAAGAATGGAAAAACATACTCTATACATTGCTACCAGAGGTGGGAATTTACTATGGAGCTTTTTGGAAAGCAATTTGTCAATATCCATTCACATTTAAAATACACATGACATTTAACCCAGAAATTCCACCTTTGTTTTTTGGGTTTTCTTTTTTTTTTTTTCAGTCAGAGTCTCACTCTGTCGCCCAAGGTGGAGTGCAGCGGTTTGATTTCAGCTCACTGCAACCTCTGCCTCCTGGGTTCAAGCAATCCTCCTGCCTCAGCCTCCCAAGTAGTTGGGATTACAGGTGCCCACTACCAGGCCCAGCTATTTTTTTTTATTTTTAGTAGAGATGGGGTTTCACCATGTTGACCAGGCTGGTCTTGAACTCCTGACCTCAAGTGATCTGTCCATCTTGGCCTCCCAAAGTGTTAGGATTACAGGTGTGAGCCACTGCTCTCAAGCTACCTATAGGCTTGAGCTCCCAAGGCAGCCCAGAAATTCCACCTTTGGAGCTCAAGCCTATAGATACTAAAAACAAAAACGAAAAGTACTAGTATCAAAAGCTTATATTATACTTAAGCTGATATTTACTGTAGCATTGTTCATTGTGGGAGGATAAAAATGAAACCATCTGAAGATCTACTGGCAAGGGATAGGTTAAATAAAATGTGGCATATTCGTATCTTGGAATTCCATGGAGCTATTAAAAAGGCTGAGAGAAGTCTCTTTAGCCACTGGTCTATAAGAATAAGTCTGGTACACCATGGAAGTTCTCTTTTTCAGCATAATGGGGATAAGAGTCAATTAAAAGTCATAAAAAAGACACATTGCTTGAAAGCTTAAAACCTCTGAATTCTTTGCCATTCTTTGGATGTAAGGCCCAAGTCTCTTTACTGGACCTTGTCTGCTAAGTGGAATTCCATGCTACTTTTCTTGCATAAACCATTTCTGCAATACGTAATCTATAATTTTCAGTTCTGTTTTCTTTAAAGTGGAGTAAGAACTTAAAGGCAGTGGTAAAGCAATCTGAGTATAGAACACCACTAGGTTTTTATGATATCCCCCCTTGTGTTAATTTGTGAAATATTGCCACAACTTCCTCCCATGCCAGCAGGCATAAGCTTCTGTAATGTGGTGTTGCTGCTCCTCCTATCAAGAAGTGAAGTCTATTCCCCATCCCTTGAAGTGAGGATGACCTTGTGACTTGCTTTGACCAACAGAATGTGATGTTAGGTTAAAGCTTAAGAGACCTTGCTACTTTCTGGTTTGAGCCCTATTGGATTGATGCCCTGAGGCCACCATGTGAGGAAGCCCATTTAGTTCAGGATAAAAGGCAATGTGAGGGCTCAGTGGACGGCCAGCACCAACTGCCAGACAGATGGAGAAGGTCATCTCGGACTTTCCAGCCCAGTCGACTCCAGCTGAAAGCAGCCCTGTGAGAGAGTCCAGGCAAAAGCAGCAGTCCATGAAATCATGAGAGATAATAGACCATTATTGTTCCAAGCCACTGTGTTTTGGGGTGGTTTGTTATACAGCAAAATGTAGCTGACATACCCCAGATCTTTATTGTCATCTGAGTAGCAAATGTTTTTAGAAAGCTACATTGAGCAAATCTTTCTTGTGCATTTAACTTGATTTTCACAGAAATATGATGGTCTTCCTTTTCTGCTCTAATTGCAATGATTTGTAAAGTATTTGATGAAAGTAAAGAATTACAGGTACAAATACAGTGGTATAAACAGGTTTACGGACCAATACAACCTGACTCTGATGAGCCCAGAAGTCACCTGGCAGGAGCAGAAGGATGCAAACATACCAGAAAGCAGCCTACTGGCCAAAGCTTGTCGGCACCTTGGCTGTCCAGGAGCATCAGAGGAATGGAGAGCACTTGGGAATTCAGCAACTCTCTGTAATAGAGGTTAAAAATAAAGAGAGCTTTCACCCTGTCATTAAGAAAGAAAAGTAGCTACAGAGAAATTCACATGGTATGACCCACTTGTAGAAAAACAAAACCTACATATCTGTGCATGTTAGTAAGACAACACAGAGAATGATCTAGAAGGATACGTGCCAGACTTGTCACAGCTACCACAGGGGCTAACAGTGGGAACAAAGAGGGAAAGGAGACATGGGGGAAAAGCACTGTAGCAAAATGGAAAATATACACGGCATTAAGTAAAAACAAATAGACGGTCCATAAATATAAATACACCACTACTAAGTACTACTGTCAAGAAGCACAGCTTCTCAACACCGAAGGGAAATGGACAAATGAAAGACGATGGGATAGTAGACAGTTCTGAGCTTGAATTTTCTTTATTTAGTAGTTTTTATAATAAAGAGCAGAGGGAAAAAAATTACACTCTCAGATATGTGCCATAGTATCTTGTGATTTTTATGCCAACAACATATTAAAAATAATTTCTCCCTGTCCTATATTTGCATATTCATTTGTTGGTATATTTTTATAATATGTAGCACTTTCTAACTGGTTTTATTTGCATATGTTTTTATATTTTGTTATTTGACTAAATATATTTTGTTATTTGAGGGTACAAATTGGTACCTTACATAACTGGGTATCTTCAAAGTGCCTTGTTCATAATAGATGATCAATAAATGTTACTTAGATGAAAGGGGAAAGAAAGCCTCACTCTGATGGCAGTTGACTGGGAGAGATCTCCAGGAGGTAGCCTATTCCATCTCGTAAAGAGCTTGGAGTGAGTGCATTGGTCAGGGCACAGCAAATGACAGCAGAGCCAGTCTCTCACCGGCTTCTTAAGCAATGAGGAAATACATTTTCTCACATAGCCTGATGTCCAGAGGCAGGGGAGCTGCAGTTCCCAGCAACTCACCCAGATTCAAAGCGCCCCAGAGAAGAGGAGAAACAGTTTCTTTCCGTGTTATTTTCTTAGAAACATGGAAACCTGGTGGAGACTCATAGAAAAATGGCAGATAGGAGGCAAGACTAATTTGCAGCTCCTATTCGGATGGACAGAGTAGCACGTGGAAACTCACATTGTTAACTTTCGCTCCAAGAACTACTGCAGAAACATACCAGGAAAGCCAAGAGAATGAGAATCCACAGACACTTTAAAGGAGGTGGATTGCACTGTGGGCTCCATGGGACAGTCAGGGAGCTGTGAGTCTGCTTGCTTTCTCATCTGGGAGGCTTGTAGCCTGGGGCAAGTTCTCAGCCCTGCTCACCAGTTGCCTGGAAATAAACTCTGTGCTGTTAGGGGAGGAGGGCAAAGTGGGAATGAGAGTGGACTTTCCGGCTGTGGGCTGTGTGGAAGCTGGGTGAGGCCTGTGGCTGCTGGCTTTCCTCCATTGCCCTGGCAACCTGTGTGACACAGCAGAGACAGATATAATCCCCTGGGAACAGAAATCCATTTTCCTGGGAACCACATCCCCATCCCCCACAGCAGCTGCAGCAAGCCTGGCCCAAGGAAAGGCTGAGCTCAGACATGCCTAACCCTTCCCTCACTTGGTGGTCTTTCTCTACCTGCCCTGGTAGCTAAAAACAAAGGACATAATCCCTTGGGAGTTCTATGGCCCTGCCCACTACCTGACCCTAGGGCAATCTTGCATCTTCCTATACTACTGCAGCTGATGCGCTCTTGAAAGTGCCACCGCCTGGCTAGAGGCCAATCAACAGAAAACCAGTGCACTTAACAAAAATACAACCAAGGACCCTCACAGAGTTTACTTCACTCCCCTGCTACCTCCACTGGAGCAAGTTCTGCTATCCACAGCTGAGAGACCTCAAGATGATTCACATCACAGGACTCTGTGCAAATACCCCCGGTACCAGCCCAGAGCCTGGTAAGCTCTGCTGGGTGGCTAGATCCAGAAGAGAAATAACACTCATTGCATTTCAGCTCTCAGGAAGCTCCATCCTGGGGGTAAGGGGAGAGCACCACGTAAAGGGAGCACTCCATGGGACAAAAGAATCTGAACAGCAGCCCTTGAGTCCCAGATCTTTCCGCTGACATAGTCTACCCATATGAGAAGGAACCAGAAAAAATGCTGATAACATGACAAAGCAAGTTTCTTTAGCACCCCCGAAAGAACATACTAGCTCACCAGCAATGGATCCAAACCAAGACAAAATCTCTGATTTGCCAGAAAAAGAATTCAGGCCTACTATTAAGCTAATCAAGGAGGCACCAGAGAAAGGTGAAGTCCAACTTTATAAAATAATAATAAACAAAAGATACAGAATATGAATGGAAAAATCTCCAGTGAAATAGATAGCATAAATTTAAAAAATTCACCTTTGTAAATGAAGAACACACTTAGAGAAATGCAAAATGCATTGGAATGTCTCAGCAACAGAATTGAACAAGTAGAAGAAAGAGCTTCAGAGCTTGAAGACAAGGCTTTCGAATTAACCCAATTGAACAAAGAAAAAAGAATTTAAAAAATCAAGAAAGCCTCCAAGAAGTTTGGGATTATGTTTAAATGACAAAACCTAAGAATAATTGGTGTTCCCAAGGAAGAAGACAAATCGAAAAGTTTAGAAAATGTATTAGAGAGAATATTGAGGAAAATTTTCCCAACCCTGCTACAGATGTAGACATCCAAATACAAGAAGCTCAAATAACACCTGGGAAATTCATCACAAAAAGATCATTACCTTGGCACATAGTCATCACATTATCTAAAGTAAAGACAAACTAAAGAATCTTAAGAGCTGTGAGGCAAAAGCATCAGGTAACCTATAAAAGAAAACCTATCAGATTAACAGCAGATTTCACAGCAGAAACCCTATAAGCAGGAAGGGATTTGGGTCCTATATCTACTCTCCTTAAACAAAACAATTATCAGCCAAGAATTTTGTATCCAGCAAAGCTAGGCTTCATAAATGAAGGAAAGATACAGTCTTTTTCAGACAAACAAGTGCTGAGAGAATTTGCCACTACCAAGCCAGCACTACAAGGAATGCTAAAATGAGCTCTAAATCTTGAAACAAATCCTCAAAGTACACAAAAATAGAATGTCCTTAAGGCATAAATCTCACAGAACCTATTTAAAAAAAAAAGACAATGGAAAAAAAAACACACACACACAAGGCATTCAGGTAACAAATAGCACAATGAATAGAATAGTACCTCACATCTCAATACTAACATGAATGTAGTGTTGGCCTGCATGCTCCACTTAAATGGCCTAGATGCTCCACTTAAAAGATACAGAATGGCAGAATGGATAAGAATTCACCATAAGGACTCATATAAACTTAGGGCAAAGGGGTGAAAAAAGATATTTCATGCAAATAGACACCAAAGTGAGCAGCAGGAGCTATTCTTATATCAGACAAAACAGACTTTAACAGTTAAAAAAGGACAAAGAGGGACATATATAATGATAAAAGAACTAGTGCAACAGGAAAATACCACAATCCTAAATATATATGCATCTAACACTGGAGCTCCCAAATTTATAAAACAATGACTACTAGACCTAAGAAATGAGATAGATGGCAACAGAATCATAGTAGGGGACTTCAGAACTCCACTGACAGCACTAGACAGTTCATCAAGACAGAAAGTCAACAAAGAAACAATGGACTTAAACTATACCCTAGAAAAAATGGACTTAACAGCTATTTACAGAACATTCTACCCAATAACTGCAGGATATACATTCTATTCATCAGCACATGGAACATTCTTCAAGATAGACTACATGATAGGCCCAAAACAAGTCTCAACAAATTTAAGAAAATTGAAATTATATCAAGTGCGCTGTCAGCCCACAGTGGAATAAAATTGAAATTCAGCTCCAAAAGGAACCCTCAAAACCGTGCAAATACATGGAAATTAAATAACTTGCTCCTGAAAAATCACTGGGTCAGCAATGAAATCAAGATTGAAATTAAAAAACTCTTTGAACTGAACAATAATAGTAACACAACCTAGCAAAACTTCTGGAATACAGTAAAAGCAGTGCTAAGAAGAAAGTTGATAGCATTAAATGCCTACATCAAAAAGTCTGAAAGTGCATAAATAGGCAATCTAAGGTCACATCTCAAGGAGCAAGAGAAACAAAAATAAACCAAACCCCAACCCAGCAGAAGATAAATAACCAAGATCAGAGCAGAATTAAATAAGGTCAAAATGAAAAAATACAAAAAATAAAGGAAACAAAAAGCATGTTCTTTGAAAAGATTAATAAAATTGACAAATGATTAGTGAGATTGACTAAGAAAAGAAGATAGAAGATCCTAATAAGCTCAATTAGAAATGAAACAGGAGAGATTACAACTGATACCACAGAAATACAAAAGATCATTCAAGGCTGCTGTGAAAACCTTCAGTTGCATAAAGTAGAAAACCTAGAAGAGATGGATAAATTCCTGGAAACATACCACCCTCGTATATTAAACTATGAAGAAATAGAAGTCTGAACAGACCAATAATGTGCAGCAAGATTAAAATGGTTATTAAAAAGTTACCAAAAAAAAAAGTTCAGGACCAGACAGATTCACAGGTGGAGTCTATCAGACATTCAAAGGAGAATTAGTATCCATCCTACTGACACTATTTCAAAAGATAGAGAAAGAGGAAACCCGCCCTAAATCATACTATGAAACCAGTATCACCCTAATATCAAAACCAGGAAAGGACATAACAAAAAAAAAAGAAAAAAAAGAAAAAGAAAACTACAGACCAATATTCCTGATGAACATAGATACAAAAGTCTTCAACAAAATACTACCTAACTAAATCCAACAGCATATCAAAAAGATAATCCACCATGATCAAGTGGGTTTTATACTGGGGATGCAGAGACGGTTTAATATACACAAGTCAATAAATGTGACACACCACAAAAACAGAATTAAAAACACAAATCACATGATCATCTCAATAGATGCAGAAAAAGCACGTGACAAAATTCA